AATATATGCAAATCAATCAATGTGATACACCATATTAACAAATTGAGAGGCTTCCTTCGTGGCACAGTGGTTGAGAATCTGCCTGCTAATGCAGGGGACACGGGTTCGAGACCTGGTCTGGGAGGATCCCACATGCCGCAGAGCAACTAGGCCCATGAGCCACAACTACTGAGCCTGCGCATTTGGAGCCTGTGCTCCACAACAAGAGAGGCCACGATAGTGAGAGGCCCTCACACCACGATGAAGATTGGCCCCCACTTGCCACAACTAGAGAAAGCCCTTGCACAGAAATGAAGACCCAACACAGCAAAAATAAATAAAGTAATTAATAATCTCCTACCCCCAACATCTTCTTTAAAAAAAAATATTAAGGAATAGAAACCACATGATCATCTCAATAGATGGAGAAAAAGCTTTTGACAAAATTTAATGCCAATTTATGATAAAAAAACTCTCCAGAAAATGGGCATAGAGGGAACCTACCTAAACATAATAAAGGCCATATGTGACTAACTCTCAACAAACATCATTCTCAATGGTTAAAAACTGAAAGCATTTCCTTTAAAATCAGGAACAAGTTAAGGATGGTCATTCTCACTACTCCTATTCAACATAGTTTTGCATGTGCTAGGGACAGCAATCAGAGAAGAAAAAGAAATAAAAGGAATAAAAACTGGAGAAGAAGAAATAAAACTGTCACTGTTTGCAGGAACATAAAATTCTTGCATTCCTATACACTAAGAACAAAAGATCAGAAAGAGAAATTAAGGAAACTATCACATTTACCACCACAACAAAAACAATAAAATACCTAGGCATAAACCTACCTAAGGAGGCAAAAGGCTTGTACTAAGAAAACTATAAAACACTGATGAAAGAAATCAAAGATGACATAAACAGATGGAGAAATATACCATGTTCTTGGATTGGAACAATCAATATTGTAAAAATGACTGTACTACACAAAACAATCTACAGATTCCTTGCAATACCTATTAAACTACCAATGGCATTTTTCACAGAATTAGAAAAATATTTTACAATTTGTATGGAAACACAAAAAACACAGAATAGCCAAAGCAATCTTACAAAAGAGAAATGGTGCTGGAGGAAACAGGCTCCTTGATGTCACATTATACTACAAAGCTACATTAATCAAGAGAGTATTGTACTGGCACAAAGACAGAAATATAGATCAAAATCCCAGAGATAAACCCAGACACATATGGTCACCTAAATTATGACAAAGGAAGCAAGAAAATACAGTGCAGAAAAGACTGCCTCTTCAATAAGTGGTGCTGGGGAAACTGAACAGCTACATGTAAAAGAATGAAATTAGAACACTACCTAACACAAAATCCAAAAAAAAAAAATACAAAATGGAATAAAAACCTAATATGAGAGATTTGAGAAGATGGCGGAAGAGTAAGACGTGGAGATCTCCTTCCACCGCACAGATACATCAGAAATACATCTACACGTGGAACTGCTCCTATAGAACACCAACTGAATGCTGGCAGAAGACCTCAGACCTCCCAAAAGGCAAGAAACTCCCTACATACCTGGGTAGGGCAAAAGAAAACAGAAAATACAAAGACAAAAGAATAGGGATGGTACATTCACCAGTGGGAGAGAGCTGTGAAGGAGGAAATGTTTCCACACACTAGAAGCCCCTTCATGGGCAGAGACTGCAGGTGGCAGAGGGGGAAGCTTCAGAGCCACGGAGGAGAGTGCATGCAACAGGGGTGCAGAGGGAAAATCACAGAGATTCCCGCACAGAGGATTGGTGCTCCCCAGCACTCACCAGCCCTAGAGGCCTGTATGCTCACCGCCGGGATGGGCAGGGGCAGGAGGCTGAGGCTCGGGCTTCGGTCAGATGCAGGGAGAGGACTGGGGTTGGTGGTGTGAACACAGCCTGAAGGGGTTAGTGCACCACGGCTAGCTGGGAAGGAGTACGGGGAAAAGTCTGGAGCTGCTGAAGAGACAAGAGACTTTTTCTTGCCTCTTTGTTTTCTGGTGCACTAGCAGAGGGGATTAAGAGTGCTGCTTTAAGGAGCTCCAGAGATGGGCATGAGCCATGGCTATCAGCACGGACCCTAGAGATGGGCATGAGATGCTAAGGCTGCTGATTCAACCACCAAGAAGCCTGTGCGCGAGCACAAGTCATGATCCCCACCTCCCCCTCTTGGAAGCCTGTGCAGACCGCCACTGCCAGGGACCCGTGATCCAGGGACAACTTCCACGGGAGGACACATGGCAGGCCTCAGGCTGGTGCAACGTCAAGCTGGCCTCTGCTGCCGCAGGTTCACCCCACATCCGTACCCCTCCCTCCCCCCAGCCTGAGTGAGCCAGAGCCACAAAATCAGCTGCTCCTTTAACCCGGTCCTGTCTGAGTGAAGAACGTATGCGCTCAGGTGAACTACAAGCAGCGGTGGGGCCAAATCCAAAGCTGAACCCCAGGAGCTGTATGAAAAAAGAAGAGAAAGGATAATTTCTCCCAGAAGCCTCAGAAGCAGCAGATTAAAACTCCACAATCAACTTGATGTACCCTGCATCTGTGGAATACCTGAATAGACAACGAATCATACCAAACTGAGAAGTTGGACTTTGGGAGCCATGATATATCTGTGTTTTTCCCTTTTTCTCTTTTTGTGAGTGTGTATGTGTAAGCTTCTGTGTGTGATTTTGTCCATATAGCTTTGCTTTCATGATTTATCCTAAGGTTCTGTCCATCGGCTTTTTTTTTTACTTTAAAAATTTTTTTTCTTAATAATTATTTTTTAATAACTTTATTTTATCTTTATTTTATTTTATCTTCTTTCTTTCTTTCTTTCTTTCTTTCTTTCTTTCTTTCTTTCTTTCTTTCTTTCTTTCTTTCTTTCTTTCTTTCTTTCTTTCT